TGGCGGAAAACAACAATGGTGGCCATTGCCTCATCTTACGCTGATTGGTAGAAGACTGGAGAAATATAATCAGAAGTATTATTGTGCCTTATATTAACATTTATTCATAAACCGTGTGCCCTGTAAACCTGATAAACGATTCTAATACCTCGGGTCCATTTCTTGATATTCTCGCGTTAATTACTGCACATAGTATTCTGAAGCATGAATTAATCTTCTAAAATCAGCTCTAGATTCAGGATCTTATGCGATCTAGATATCTGATACCCTGTATTTCTATCCCATATAATCAATCAGATGGAGATACAAATTAGCTTAATGGAATATGCTCCCTGTTTGAATCTTACTGCATTCTTCTTCTCAGTACTGTCACCTTCTTCTTGCGTCTCTTCTTCGATGGCTTTTCCAGTGACACACCTATTATTATTGCTTCTCTGAAGATGTTACAAGATTTACTAATTAGATCTATTTATAAGTAGAAAACATACATCAGGAAAAACAAAATAATTGAACAAAGGATATCCTTTTTAATAATTTCCTCTTCTGGCTCTACAATTATTTTTATGTTTATATGCATAGAATATTCTAGAACAGTCGTTAATAACAATATTGGTGTTTTTTAAATAATGTCGATCTGTTAAGTAAGATCACAGTGGAATTACCACAGTTCACTAAAGATGCATAAATTATAATAAACATACAAATATAGTAGCAAATAGAATATTAAATGAAATTAAGGAAATTTCCACAACCAATTGAGGATCATTGGAACCTAGATGGCCAAGGTAAGAACAATGTCTGAACTAGCTTCTTTTGGATCCCGACGGCCATCTTCAGCAATATTTAGTAGTCGATCTCTTAAGGCGAAATTGAGATTTATTGGTATGTGGCAAATGACTTTGAAGGCCTGGTTAACGTCAGTCTTGTGTTCTGTATCCACAGGATGAAATAGAATAGCGCTGCGAATAGATTTTGTTTATCGTTTTTTTTTATTTTACAGCTTGATTCCACACCGTATTTTCAGTACAAGTGTGGAATTTTCAGCATGGATATCGGTAGCCCAAATTCAGGCCGACCATAGATATCGGGTGTGCGCCGGCAGGGGATCGAACCCCGGACTATGTGCATGGTCGGTGAGAGTCCTAACCACTGTGTCACCGACGCACATAGGGTGATGTTCGGAAATTCGACGAGAAACACGCCTAATTGTACGGCTTATGTAACTGGCTCCACAGAAGCAGTCAAATTGGTAGAAATTAGGCAGTCTGTCTTTTTCTCCCGAACGCAAAAGAGGAGTGATTTTGAAGACATTGCGTAATTCGGCAGCAGTGAATGCTCCTTTTGCCGCATTCCTAAGGCGTTGGTTAGTATCTCACTGATGTTATCACCAACGAACTGCATTTGTAAGAACAAGGCCTTTTTCGGAACTGTTGGTACTTCAGCTTGCCTTAAGTTTTGATTCATATTCTTATCAATGAATTTTTCTGGATAACCGTTCTCACTTAGCAAGTGTTTAATAATACCAAGTTCTTCATCAGAACATTCATCAGAGCAGATTGAACTTGCTCTGTGATCAGACCAAGCACTTTATCAGATTGCGTTTGTATTTCAAAGGCATGAAGCTGAAAAAATGAGTATACTGACAGTCAGTTGATGTAGGTTTTCTATATACACTTCTTCCTATTATTGTACCGTCCTCTTTTCTAGTCATAAGGAAGTCTGGGAATGAAATACTAGAGTCTTTTTCTTTCTCGATGGTAAAACCTATTGCAAGATGAACATCGTTAAATTTGTCCAGGATGTTCTTTGCTTCATCCTCAATTTTCATAATCAAAAATGTATCATCCATGTACCGACAGTAGAATTCTAGTTCATCAGTTACATCTTTCAAAGGACCATTTTCTAGCTTCACAAGGAAAATGTCGGCTAGAATGGGTCCTAGTGGTGACCCCATTGCCACACCATCGATTTGTCTGTATAGTTCCTTATTAAATAAAAAGTGAACATTCATTGTGCATTTCAAGAGAAGCTCTTTTATAAAAGATGTAGAAATGCCGACATCGATGTTTCGTTTTATGAGTTATTCACATACATTACACTACATTACATACTACTATTTCCATTAGTGGTACACTGGTGAATAAGGAAGATACGTCAAATGATATCATGAATTTATTGTCAACATTTAAATCTTTTATCCTTTCAACAAATCCAAAGGTATCTTTTACACTGTGTTTCACCAATTCAGTATGTAAAGGCTGTAAGAGTTCGAGTTTATGTTTAAATTATCTAGGTCATATTTTTGTATATAAATGACGATTTATGAACCGTCCGAAAAAATGTTGTACTATATATGGACATTCACAGATAGTTGTTCTGGCTTCTGACGTCATCTGTCCAGTGGCAGTTTGTGTGATTAATCGAGTTTTTCCGTGAGCAGTGATCACTTGGCGATTTACCAGTCTGGTTGATAGGTCAATGAGTCATCGGCTAGTCTTATTGATTAGAGAGTTAGTTAGTTGTGTGACA